GCATGGAGCACTGGGTGTTATACGCAAACAATGAATCATGGAACACTACATCAAAAACTAATGATGTAATGTATGGTGATTAACATAACATAATAATAAAAAGAAAAAGAGAAAGAGGTCAGTCACAAAAAGGACCACCTATTGTATAATTCCATTGATATGAAATGTCCAGAATAGCCCAATCCATAAAGACAGAAAGTAGAACAGTGGTTGTCAAAGCAGGTAAGGATGGGGAATGAATGATAATCAGTATAAGGTTTCTTTTTGGGATGATGAGAATGTTGCAAAATTTTGTTCTGTTGATGGCTGCACAATTCTGTAAAAATACTAAAAACCACTGAATTGTAAACTATAAATGGGTGAATTTTATAATATGTACAGTATATCCCAATAAGACAGTGTTTTAAAAGTGTAAAAAAAAGGGGGGGGCAACAAAAACTTTTTCACTGGCATTTGACAAATTAAAATGCTGATGTGACCTTCTAAGTTCCAAAACTCTTATATTTCCTTTTCTTCAAACCATACTCCTATAGTCTAGAACTCTTGCAAGTTTCAAGCCTTTGATACTTCTATGCCAGAGAAAATCTTTTTTGGTAGGGATTCTAGGAAATGCAACAAACCTAGTTATGTACCAAGGAAAGAAAAATTTATTAGAACCTGGGTCCACAAAAAATTCTCCTACCAATGTCTAGAAAACAAACATCCAATCTAGATGTTTTTCAGCCATCAAAGAGCAAAAGTATCATTTATCCCCATTATTTTCATGGAAGCCAGGAGGCTTACATGAAAAGCACACTATGTTCCCTACTGATTTGATTTATGACCTTAAAAGATGTTCTCTTCTGATCTTTGGCCTTAAACATCTGGACATTTTTTGAGTCTTAAAAAACCTGAGTCTGGATTGGAAGTGCTCCAGAAAAGGTCCCCAGCCTATTTTTGTCTATATTCACTTGATTCTTTTCCATCAATACTTTTATTTCCTTCTCATTTCAGACAAGACATAAATATATAAAGACTACAGTTGTTATTTTTTTTTTTTTTAAAGATTTTATTTATTTGGTAGACAGAGACACAGCGAGAGAGAGAACACAAGCAGGGGGAGTGGGAGAGGGAGAAGCAGGCCTCCCGCCGAGCAGGGAGCCTGATGTGGGGCTCGATCCCAGGACTCTGGGATCATGACCTGAGCCAAAGGCAGACGCTTAACGACTGAGCCACCCAGGTGCCCCTACAGTTGTTATTTATTAACACAGTTGCTGTATGCTTTCAGAGAAGAAGTATAATAGTATCTCCACAGCTTCCATGTTTAAAAAAAAAAGTTAATCAATGAACTACTTTTGCAGCTTCATCTCCTGAACTATAGTGCCCTCTGCTGCTTGATGTTGATAAAGACCGTTCTCGCAGGGAAAGGGAATCTAAGTAACTTTGGAAAGCAACCTTTAAAAAAAAAGGACTCCTTCATTAAATGCTACAGAATTCAAATGACATAAAAACTTCATCTGAATAGATTTAAGAAAATATGCACGACACATATTTAATAAAGCATCTGTCCAAGAAAAAATTAAGTTTTAAACATACACACACACACTTAAAAATGCCCTCTTGAAGCCAAGAGCTGAGGCACCTACTGCACTCTCATATGAGTGAATGTAAGAAGAACTGTGAGGAAGAGCCTAATTCTGTAGTGAAGCCACATACCCATATCCAGCTGTGACACCCCAGGCAGCCCTGTCCTGCCCACAAATGCAGCCCCGGTGCCCGGCACAGAGCAGACACACAAATTGTGGCCGAATGTCGATGTTTTACCGTGAGATCCTAAAACTCTTTAGTCCTCAGCTCGAGGGCTTAGAGCCCCTCCCTCATCCCTTGTGCAAACACCACAGACACCTCCTGTTTCCCATGTGCAGGCCCTGGCGTCAGTGCTGGAGGTAAAGATGCCAAGTATGTCTGGACTCCTGCCCTCAACAAACTCACCCTAATGGGAGGAAAACTAACAAATAAATACAATTACATGGACTATGATAAAATCTGCTTAGAGGAGAGAAAACGCCCATCATTTGAGACCTGTCTGGAAGAACTGGTACTTAGCATAGATTTCTTCATAGCTCCAACATATGTGATTCTGATTTCATCAGGAAAATACTAATAAAACCACTATTTTATTTTTTTAAAAGTCTGCCTGGAGGGGAGGAAAGCAGAGGAAGAAGCAGTCAATTCTACCAGGCGTGGAAGGATTAATAAAGACTTCACAGAGGAGTCTTAAAAGACACACAGCACTCACCAGACAAGCATGGAGGACACAGTCTGAACGAGGACACCAAGGAATGCCGCACTTTCTATGTGTGGTCACTCGAGGCAGGGCTGCCGAACACAGCCATGTAGGTTAGATACTGTCTACAATGCAGCGGCCCTGCTAGAGGGAAGGGTAGAGTCTTCCTTCTCTAATCTTACTCCTCTCCTCTATTTCTTCTTGGAGTCCTTCTCTTAGTCACTTTCAAACATGAAAACTTATGTTACCTTATATGAAATCAGAGACACACCCTGCTCTTTCCAAAAATGCTTTGGCCTTGCTTCCCCTCAGTCCTGGCAAGCCCAAGTGTGGAACAAGTAGTAATGACTAAGCAGGAGGGGCGCCATCATAGTGGAGATGCGCACTCATCCACTCCTACTTGGCCTGCTGCTCTTCCAAACAACAGCAGGGAAACCCCCCAAGGAACTAAGTATTGGAATCTGTCCCCTGGGCCTCACCAACACAGATGACTTACATGAGTGAAACAGTAGCTGTAACAAAAAGCAAAAGCAAACTAATAAAGTTAAACATTAGGCATTGTGTTAAACACTTGACATATCCCAAGACAAAGGAATGTTACTATTCCCTCTTTAAAGACATGGAAACTGAAGCCCAGAGAAAGAAAGAAACTCCCACATCACAGAGCTAGAAAAGCCCCCAGGTGAGTCATGCAGTCTCCAGAGCACTAGGCATGTGACACTGTGGTAGAGACTCCCTCAGGGGATGGACCCAGCCCACAGCAGTGAGTGCCACAAGGAACACTGAATCTGCCAACTTCAGGCACTCACACATTACAAGAGGACTGTTGGTGGCACACTCTAGCCCCAAGAGATAATCCCAATCTTCCTATCATCAGGAAGGAGAACTTCTGAGGTCAAGAGTGGGACTCACCAAGGAGCTAGGTGGTAGGCAGTGGATCTACCAGTGATAGAAGGCTAAAAGGTTTAGCCCTGCTCCTGGGAGTAATGGTTTTGAGGGAGTACCCTCTTTTGACCTTTCTCTTTAGATTGGATTTCTTGAGTTCTTGGAACTGGTTTCCCAGTACAGGAACTAGTCCCCTCTGTATAGCATAGGAAGAGCCCCAGAGGCTGATCTCTGGTCTGTAGTGAAGGTGCCTACCTGGAGCTCTGTGCTCAAAGCTCCAGAGCATTCAATCATTTATTTAGAGGCCCATCTAGAGCCTCCCTCTCAGTTCGGCAGGTGTCAGAGGAGGCCAGTGGTCAGGAATTCAAAGATATGGGATCATGGCCCAATCTCTGACCCCAAAGATAAGCCCAAGAACAATTCTCTTATCTCTAGCAGCACCCCACTCTGATAATCCTAACTATACAAACTGCACGGCAGCCACACCCATACACTCCCTCTCCCTAATCCTTGCCCTCTTCCCTAGAATGCCACATGGTGCTTACTACCAAGCTGATGATCTAACAGAGCACAGAACAAAAGCCATCCCAGCAACAGCACCAAAGATGCAGACATCACCAACCTAAGCAAATAGCCATTCTCTAATCAAGAAGTCAAATATCCAAAGGAACTTACAACCCCCGGAGCCATTACAATAAGTCAGTGGTAAGGGAGCAATCTTTTAAAAGGGAAGGTTCTGATGCCAGGAAGGAGTGCTGATGGACACCTGGCAGGGAAAGGTCAATACTAAATAGCCAGAGATGACCACCCCGACGTCTGCCCTCTGCAGCAGGAGTCAGGCGCATTCTAAAACCAGTCCTGACATCAGTGAGATTACAAATCCATTCATTGATATGGGATATGTAACACCTACCCTGAAAAATTTTACCTTGAGGATCACAAGGGAACCCTATTTCTTTGTGTATCACTAGAAATACCACAATATACTTTTCTGATCAGGTAGCTACAGTTTGCAAGTGCTAATATACTTGCAGGTACACCAAGGTAGCAGCATTATAGACCAGTGCATGGGCTTTCTCTAATCAGGAGTCTTGGCGCAAATCAGAGTTGGAGGCCCAGAGACAATGCTGTGCACAGGACCCAAACACTTCCACAGAAGGGAAATACGGAAAGACAGATCATTACAATTAAAGTTTCCACTTTTCAATGTAATAACTGCTAAACTATTTTTGAAGGGTAAAAATGTTGCCCGCCCCCCTAAAACAGCCCAAATGCATTTAATATGTATCACTGAACATGTGCAAAGATTGCAGTAAATTGCTTCACAAACGCAAATTATTGCAATCAGCATCTTGTTTTCTAGTTCTAAATTCAAAGGCAAACTATTAACACAAGACTGCTAACTCTTGCTATTATCACACATCCTCCTTCTAACAAAACCACATTTCCAGATGGACTGCCAAAATTAGTCAAGTGACTCCTAAGAAATACAAGATTGACATGCCAGAAATTCACTTAGAAATGAATGCTTTATTTAAATAAAGGAAACATACACCCAAACACACCTTTCCTAAGGAAATACGAGCTGCTTTATTTACAATTCCACTTGAATTGCAACTCAGTGAAGGCATTCGCAGGAACAGTGGGACAGCTGGGCTGTTACCCTGTCAGTATTCTGACTAGTCCTCAGTGTCAAATCGGGCAGAATCAGGGGTGTGGTGCAGGCTGGGCCTGATTGGGGGATCCTGATAATAAATTCAGCAAAATATTTAAACTCAACTAAGACAAGTGATGCAGGAATTGTTGAGAGAGTGCTCAGCTCTGCGACCTAACTGGGTATTCTTCTTTCCAGACTGCTGTGTTTACTCTGTATTTGACAGAACGACTAATTTTTTAAAATGTATCAATCAAGCAGATGAGATTATTCCAGTGCATTCCATCAGAGCAACCATTTCTGAAGAGCATAATGATCAGGTCCGTGGCTCAGAACTAAGCTTTGTTTCAATCTACAAAACTCAAGGCAGCAATTTTCATACATGCCTGAGAAGGTCAAGGGCTCAGAACCAAGGTGAGCTCTGAGGCGAGGAAAGGAATAGGATTCTCCATGCCAAAAGAAGGCTCCCCCTGAATGGGGATGGTCTAGAATTCCTATTCCTCAGGAGAAACAGCTGGCCACCGTAGTCCTTCTTTTTGACAGCACCTTGAACACACAACACCAAGGAATCAGAAAAGCCACTTACCACTGGCCAGCTTTAAAAGAAAAGTCTTTATCAGCAACATGCAGGCAGAGCCTCTTCACTGATGGCGACTCATTAGCGGCCCCACACACCTTAGCAGCCGACACCATCTAGAGCCAAAAGATGAACTGCGGCTGAAATTAGTGTGTCTACACATCACGAACAAACTGTGGCTTTCTGGTAACTAAGGTTTTTTGAAAGCTACAAAGATGTGATTTTTGAAAATTACAAAACAAGGTAAAGCACACTCTGCTTTAAGATGCTGCCTACTACCTGATGAACAAATTTAATTATCTTACTGTTGAGAGACTTGCTATCATATTAATTGAGTTTTATTCTGCATACAAAAATCCTCTCTTAGAGGGGCTGGTTTAATAAGTGTTTATTTGCTGAGCATCTAGTATGTTCCACACACCAGGCTGGGTAATCTGGAAAGAGCCTGGGGGAACGGGAGCCCCGTGAACCACCTGCCTGGCAGGTGTATGTATGACATAAACTGAAACCCACTGTTAGGTACGAGCCTGTGTTTGTTCTGAGCCTGCAAGAAGTCCATGACTCGCAAATTTCAGAAATTACAAGTAAGCACTTAGAAACTTTTTTTTAGCAATTTCACAGAGTCTGTTGAATCTAATTATAAACAACAAATTGGGCTTGTATTCCCTGTTTTTGTTTTCTTTATTTTTTCTAATTCAGTGTTGATTATATTTGACAAAACATAAACAGTCCACAACCTTTGAACAGTATTAAAAAGGGCCCTTTGCGGGGCGCCTGGGTGGCTCAGTCAGTTAAGCGACTGCCTTCGGCTCAGGTCATGATCCTGGAGTCCCGG